CCCCAAAACCCCAAAACCCCAAAACCCCAAAACCCCAAAACCCCAAAACCCCAAAACCCCAAAATATCAGTTATAACTGAAAATAATTTTTAGCAACGAGGAAAATGGAAAATCCAGACGATCTTTATGATAGAGTTCTTGATAACTTCGACTGGGGTTACTCGATAATAGGTACTTTTATCATTCAAAATCGTCTAAACTGTCTTTAGTGGCCCCGAAGAAATACTTTAGAAAGGAGAAAATTCAAACTAAGCTGAGCGACTCGTTCAAGGCTATGACTTGAAATTTATGCCTTGATTCTGCATACTCAATAGATTTACCAAACCAAGATCTCATGTGTGTCAAACATTATGATTTGATGGAGGATAAGGGCAATTTTAAAACAATTGACAAAATTTGGCAAGAAATTAATCTTCAATCTGACCGTCTTGAGAAGGAACTCCTTCTTGTTGAGTGTATTCACAGTTATTGGGAAAGCAAACAGAACCAAACTGCGTATGAAGATACCTTCATTACTGAGATAGATGAGCTCTTTCAGAAAATTCTCTCCCTTCTAAAATCCACAGTGATTGATATGAGTAAAGTCCAGGAAATATTCACACTTGAGATGTATAGTATTTGGATGAATAATTTTTAAAAAAATTACTAATTTATTCGAACAAATTCATACTAAAAGTGGAACTGCACTTTCTTACCTAATGGCCAATAAAATCCTTGATGAAGTCTATTACATAGCTGGAGATGACTCCAGACTCACAGAGGTAGAGAAGCAAGAGGAAAGATTGTATGGTAAATCATTTGATATCCTCAGTCTCATTGGAGCATTTGAGAAGCCTCTGGGAACACATGAAAAGATCAAGGAGAAAATTAGATGAAGGTAACTTACTTACTAACTTACCTTTTAGAAATAAATAAGGTCATACATAGGTTAATGGAAAATACAATTGGGAAAAGGATGCAAGAGAGAGAAAATGAGAAGGAGAAAAATTCTTCGTATGAGGAACTTAAAGAGCAGCTTGCAGAATGTCATGAATTTATCTCGTCCCTCAGAGATATTCCACTAATTGATAGAGGTTCTGAGATCGTCCATTTTATCAAAACTCATGATCTGGAAAAGCCTCCCAGCTCATCTGTAGTTGTTGAAGCTCTAAGAAAGAACAACATTGATCCTAATCCAGACTTTGGTGAAGACTACATCATCGATCTTGACTTTAAGCTGAACGAAGAGGGTTTGAAGTTTATAATCGACACCAACGACTCTAAATTTGCGAATTACAGAAAATTATCTCTAAGAAATATCTACTCACTTTACAGTAGAGGAATATTACAGCTTAACAAGTTCCTAGATAGGTCTATTCCTAATGTACTCCAGATCTTGTACTTACATGGAGGAGAGAGGACTGGAAAAACTATTCTTCCAGATCTGATTCCTGCATTAAGGTAAACATCCATCTTACTTTATAGATATGTAAAGAAACAGATTTATTTAGACTGGTTTACCATTGATCATCTAATGCTTAAAGAAATCATTGAAGCAAGCTGGAAGGTTGAACAACTTGTGCTGAACTATATAAAAGTTGGAGGTCTTCCAAGTACTTTCAGGCTTGAAGACACCATTGATTTCAATATCCAGGTGCTAGGTCTTTATGGAACCATCTCTAAAGATCCCGAAAAGGATGAATATGGATATATAGGTATAACTTGTTCATTAATAATTTTAGATGAAGCTTATTCCTGTGAGTACATCAATAAATCAGGATTCAAGATTTTAGCAAAGGCTATGAAGAATACCTCCTTAAAGGAATCTTTAAAGAAGGTCCATCTCTCATCACAGGCTATTAGTAAAGCTGAAGCTGAAAAGGTCTTTAAATTTTATGGCCTAAATGCAAAGATAAGGGCAAATAAAAAGTGGCCTGAATGTTTAATCTAACGATCTAAGATTCAACTTGAAGTATCTTCTATGGGGTTTTGGGGTTTTGGGGTTTTGGGGTTTTGGGG